TATTAGTCTTATCTAGTTTACCAAATGATGATGAACACAGCAGATTTCATACCCATGATCGGTTGATAAAAATTACTTCATTTAATCAAGTAAGTTGTAGATACACGAATAACATGGAAATATCATGGAAATGTTCACTATGCTGCAAACAAATGAAATTTATTTTACTCGAACTGATATTGATTCGTCCAGAACATGTAACTCACCATATATTTAATTTTGTCAAATCCCATAAAAATCGGAATTGATCAACATTAACTCTTCTAATCACAGATACATGATTATGCTATACTTGAACAGAATTTCAAGCATTTACGAAATCATTAAAAAAAATATCTAATCGTTTAAAAATCTGGTAATTTTCATAAAATGCTTTGAAACTGAATTGTAATTATTAATCTTCACATAATTTAGATGACGTACCGAAGACTTAGTGAAGGATTAGCTAAGAAGACTATTTCGTATTAATTACAAAATTTTTTCATTATATCAACAGTACCACACAAATTTAAGTATTACTCTGAACGCTTACACTTTTAATCTGTTCATTATGCAGCAGAACTTCAGGAATGTTGTCGACGATTTATAAATTGGAACTACTCTTTGATTGTCAATAGTTGTCTCTGGGGCAAACTATTTTTAAAGTAACTGATCTTGGACAGATTCTGGGGTGAAAATCGAAATCAATAAATACCAACTATTTTTCAAATCACTTGGCTAGTCGACATGTACCACATCAACTTTTGTTGTGCCTAACTAGTTATCTGTGAATCAATTGGTCGATGTGATATGTGTGTAGTTGTAATATACATATGTGGCGATGTATATATGTCTGTATGGCACTTTATTAACACAACGACGTCAACAACATATATGTTTTACAAATGATATCTTTGTAAAAATGTTTAGGAAAATGAAAGTTTAGCATTTGTGAAAATTTTCCAAACTAAAGATTGTTTAAAGTATATACTGAATTCGTCTGCCTTAATAATGGACATCATAAAGTACAAGAAAGCTTTTCTTCGCTCTATTTTACCATTGTCCTGGCAGTGTACTTGCACAACGTCAAACATTTTCAAGTTAAACACTTTTGAACATGTAGTCGGACGTGATATGATTTTAGATTAAGGGTCAGAATTCATTGGTTGTGTTATACTTTTACTGATTGTTAAGACACTAGTAGCAAATAATGCAATACTTTTCAAATTCATTTCACTCAAACCATGTGTGTTTATACAATTGTTCGTTATCCTAGATTTTGTATATATAGTGCATCATTTATATTCCAGTGTTGAGAATAAACCATCTGAAAAGAACTGTATATAATTTTCCAGCCATTCTCTGTACATGGTCCTAACCAAACTAAACAGACAGTAGGAATACAAAGACAAATAGGAGTAATAAGACTAATTAAAACGACTAGTCACAAACAAGGTTGTGACAACAAACTGATTTTACACTTCTGTGATGAATAAAATATGCCAATGAGTGACGTTCGAATGGAAAGTCATAACTGCTGGAGATCAGACTTGTCGGAAGTGAAACACTCGTCACGAGTGGTGTTGATTGTTTGTCACACAGTAATGCGAATAGACTAGAATTAAAATTGTTAACTGTTAGATAGCAACTCAGTTGTTCAAATAGTTAAGTGTTTGCAGTGACACTTGACATTCCTAAGTTTGATATCCGGGTGGGTTAGCCGATGTGCGCTGTCGATGTATCCCACACCAATACGAGACAGATAATCATTACTTCCTTGTTTTCAATGGTACTCCAAGCTCCTAAAACCAGTATTTCGTTGATCAACTAAACTCAAATAATGAATGCAGCAGAGTTTATAAATTTTCCAATAAAGTTTTCCATAGCTACTCAGCATTCTTATTACCACGAACAGTTGTACGTGAAGGATACTATAACTAGTTCATCTCATCAGATAAGTAATATTGAAATCAATGAGATAGTTATTTGTTAGGTAGACGTTACGTCGATCAAATGTTTTCAAAAAAGTAATATTTCAGATGATGAAATTTACAAGGAGTTATCCAGATGCCTGATATTTTAAAAATTCTAACCGGAAAAATATCTTACATTCTTAGTTGAGTTAACGCACCTTTAATTATGAAACAATCAGAAAAAAATTGTTGTTCCAAAACGTTATTAGGCGTTCGGTACCTTTCAAAGAATAATGCGGATAAATGTTTCAGATGGTCAGCTACAGTGAAAGAAATACGTTTAGTAAGTTCAAAGTACTGCTTTGTTGAAGTGAATCGTACTAATTTTACGTGATCAGTTCATCTTGAAACAATAATTATTGTTATTTACTGGACCAACTATGAGAAAATTGTCTTTGTTCCAAAAGTAGTATTTGCGTCCTCTCTTAACATGGTTTTCAAAGCCGGCATATATATCATATATCACCTATTTGCATGTACTTACATTCATCATTGATACGTATAAACTGTTGCTTTGAAGTGATTTGTTAGGATGACATCAAAATCATATTCATTGTGTTGCAAAATATCATTAACATTATTGTAAAAATATTGATTTCACCAATGTCGTCCTATTTTTATACAGTTAACTCATATATTACCTAACTGTTCAACCATATTAAGATGAAAGCCCCTGAACTCGATTTCAAGTGATGATGGTTTGAACACATATAGAATATTGAAAGCCTAGTTTCCCAAGTTTTATATCTTCCGTATCACACCATTTTCTAACAGATATTTGTTCTATTCCAATAACTGTTTCCAAATCTTTTGTAGACAGAACATACATTTTAAATCGATCCTGGGATACTAATTAAAGGAACATTAATATTAGAATTTTCGTCATGTGACTAACACTGCGAACCAAGATTCTCATTTCGTCTTATTCAGAACTTGTTATTTGGATGAGATACCTGAATTTCAATGTTAATATTCACGCTGTTTTAGACGTAGCGTGTTTTGATTCAAATATCTAACAACTTACTACTAAATAAAAATAACAATCAACCCAATGCTCAATTTATTCGAAATTAACTTACTACTAAGTTAATAAGTTCGTATAACCACTAAATTGTTCAACATATTAGTGAAGTGCTTGTAATTTTCCATCATTGAGTTCCGTAATACAACGATCAGAGACTAGAGACACTTTCTGAAACAGTTTTTTCTACCATTTCCCTAGTTTTCAAGATCATTGTTTATTTTTTCCTAAAAATGATTTATGTAAGATAAAATATGTTTTATTATTGATGAATGACTATGAAACTGTATGGTTATAAAACACAGAACATAAATATGTTATCATGAAATAATCAACAACGGTATGTACTATTCTACACATTTTTAAAAACTCAGAATAAATCTAAACTAAACTGTTGTTAAAATGATGATATTTGATAAAAACTAAAAATAATCAAAATTGTAACTCTTTCTGATGTTAATTTTTCTTATGTCATTTAATAACTGAATCTGTATAGGACTAAATCAAGTGTTTACTTTCAAGAGAGAAAAAAGTGAGGTTGAATCCAACTGTGATTTGATTGACTCTAAAAATAACATCGAAAGTAGAAACTGACAATTACTAAAATTGACATATATTCAGTAGTTGGATTGAATTTGCTGATCCATATAACTGTGACATTTCAATTTAAGACTGCGAAACTAACAAAACGTAATTACTTTGATTCCGATTGAAGTTAGTCGGCTGAAAACCATTGTACTTGAGTTATGTGTTGTCAGACTAATGTCGTTGTGTGATGTAAACTATAAACTTCATCAATCTTCACAGAATCCTTACTTTAATGTTCTGTATTTTATAATACTTAGACGGTCACTGAAGATAAATGTTATTCTGATCAATACAGTTATTCTGGCACTTTACGAAATTAACTATTTCATCATATTAATCAAATTTATTAAATGAATTGAAGACTTCTGAATTGAGTGCTTGTTTAAACTTTGCAAATGGTTTCAGCGAACCCTTGAAACTGATGCTTTATGTGTTTAGAAAAAGTTACCGTTAACTTAAATTAAACAACAGAAAATGACTCTCTAATATAGTGTTTGTTTTCTGAAAATGAACTGTACTGTTAGTGTAAATTATTGTATATTTATGGTAAACAAAAAATGGTGATGTAAACAGAGTGATTTTCACATATACGATTTACCTTTACATTATTACATAATTTCGACACTTTTCTCCATATTATTATTTAACTATTGTAACATTAACATGTAAAGCATTGGATTCAGACTCAGTGATCTCAAGGTCAAGTGTTCGCTCATGAGTCCAAATGTCCAGGGATCGATTTCGTCTTGAGGTAGTGAGCATGCACTACTGAGGAGCCCCAGACTGGGACGAAACAGCTGTCCTGTGTTTCTTGGTTTTTAATGGTTGTCTAGTTTATGTCGGTGGTTATTTAAACTAGGAGGATTGACTTTCTATGAGAAGATTAGACTTACGGTTTCTAACTTGATCCAATATTTTTGACGATTATATATAAAATCTGGTAAACAAAAAGAGCCATTCATTGCATAATGCACACAGAGATTTATATACATATAGCTTAACAGCTAGCACATATGTCACAGTTAAAACTGCCATCTCAAAGTTTTTAATGCCCTTAAAAGCATTTGCTATCCATCGACTGACTGATGAGAATTGTATTATATATAATTCTTTTCGAGTTTGTATAAGTGACATTAAACGGATTATTAACTTTAAAGATTGTATTTTCACATATCCAAATAAGGATTATGCAAAATTATCTGAAAATGCAATATGTTTACACATGAAAATTGTAGTGAAAATCAATATTAACCGATAATATCCTACTACTCTCCTTCATATTTCTATCATTTTAATGTGTTGTGTTAATGGGCAGATCGGATATAACACATATACATACGACAGATGTAGTAGTGAAATTCTTACTTAAATTTTACCATATATATATGTATATATGTCCAAAGAAAATGTGTGTATCCTTGAATAGTGTTGAGGCCCACACAAATATAAATTCTACAAATGACCTTGATCTATTTCATGTCATATATCTGATTGAAAATTTCTCTTATAATAAAGAATTCCCTATTTTTAAACAATTTCAAATGGTTCAATTCGTGACTGTCACACACAATTATAAATGTGTTCTAATGTGAATTTGATTGGTTCAAGTCGAATTCAATCAACTACATTGGTTAAATTATTATGGTGAATTTAAGAGAAAGTCAGATACCAAGCCTAGCACAAATTAAAATCACTTTCTTTCTTTTACTATCAGAAAAACGAAAGTTGTTTTAAGTACATTTTTCCCGCGGATTTATGGCCAATCAACCTTTAGCTAGTGGACTTAGTGCTCAAGTCAAAAGAAAGGTAATTTTGATTTTAAGATATAGATTTTTATGTATTTGTCCAATCTAGTATACTTTGATAAAAGCTAAGGCAAATTTACTCGAAAATAGCAATCATTATTCAAGGTTGAAACTGTGAATTACTGGATGCTGACTTAGTGTAGTTCAAACGCTCACTGCAAGAGCTGACTAACTTGAGGACACTCCCCACTACTGAGAAGTCCTATACTGGTGTCAAATAGCTGTTTAACGTGTCCTGATTTTCAATGGTTGTCAAACTATAATCATCCTGTTATGTAAAGTATGAAATTCGAGTAAAATCCTTCTTACAACACGTATTTTCAATCGTCCATCATACAGAAAGTACAACCTGAAGTTTAAGTGCTTCGTCTTATTTTTCAATTACTTTCAACTTACTTTATTAACAAACAATCGAAATTATTTTATTTTTATTTGTCAATATATAACTTCTAGGCATTACATAAAAAAAACTAATTTTAATAAAAAGAGGAAATGTTTAGACTGTTTTATGTGACCATAGTTGTATGTGAAATTTACAATGATTTTGATACTATTGAAGCTAAACTGCACTTAACTAACTGAGAAAAATTAAGGACATAGTATGTGTATACATCTACATGTGTGCGTTCATGAAGTTGTAGAATTTTCAGCATTATTATCACTTTCCTATACACCTCTTATACTCAGATAAATTCGTTGAACCATCTATGCAGTGTTTTTCAGATTAATAATTATCAATAATTATCTTCAAAAATAATGACATTTAATTAAGTTTACTCAATATTAGCTTTACAAATAATTTCATAATAATAAAACAGTATTAAAATTCAATACTTCAAGCTTTTACTAATTTGTGTACATGGTTTACCGAACATGTAACATAAATAATTTAAATGTACTGTTTGTGTTAACTGATTTATTTTATCAGAAGGGTTTTTTGTTGATATTATAGTAATTTCAATAGTTGAAATCATGAGTCAATTGAAGCTAGACCACCATGGAAAACCTGGAAGTACCAGACGGCCGTTTCCCACAATAGATTTTCCATGGTGGTCTAGCTTCAATTGACTCATGATCTCAATTATTGAAATTATATTTTAATCATTAATCAACTTGAATACTATGTAGATTACACTGTTAGTTCGTAATATCACAATTATGTAATGTTGAGATTAGATGTAGGGTAATCAGTAAATTGAAAAATACGGTCTATTATTTTGTAAATTTTGATTGTCTGAGAAAGTTGAAGGTGGCTAAATCACGACTGAGTTATTCCATTCCAATAATTATTGAACTGGACGATAGTGATGATTAGTGATTAAAAACCGCTAAAAATCAATCACAATGGAATAGATGCATCCATCATTTTTTATTCCCCTGAATTTTAAGATCCAACATAACACTACGCTTTTGATTACCCATTCATGTCGTTTTTCGATGTAAATTTTTTATATTTATTCAATTATCTACTGATTTAGCTCTTTTCTATCCCATCTTGTTAATTTCGCCGTCCTACGATAATTACCAAACCTAGAACCTATTATCTTTTGTCTTGAGTGCCCAACGCGTTATCCAATTATGTAGATATAGTTAAAATAAAGGCATTTTAATATGTAAGATTTACTTTTAGTATGATACGTTAAGTGACTTTTTTTATGATTTCATCGTTTAATTAGAAAAAAAAATGAACTTAATTCTTAACAGATAAATACTTTGATTCAGCTGAAACGCAGGTATTTATTCTGTAGTCTACCACGTTAGAATAAAAAAAAGAATGGAAATATCCTAGATTTCAGTATTAAATAATAACTAAGTGTGAAATTCGATCGAAAATTTTAAATTGACGGATGTTATTAGCGATATTTTTAATGTTTAGTAGATGTATTTCCAGTACTTTTATATATTTTCTTCAGTCATTTATTGAGTGCTGCGCAGCAGAGTGTAATTATAATTAGACATTATGTTTCGATCCTTGGCTGCCATCATATATAAGTTTATGATCCGGGCTTCCTCACACTGACATGTGCACGGCAAACAAATGTGCATAATTCCAAAGGCTTGAAATGAACTCTTTGGTCAAATTGCCTCCTGATATCTAGGGCTCACCCACCAAAGGCTGGATACCTCACATCTATTGAACATTGGAAAATTTGCGGATAACCCCAGCCTTTTAACTTCAATACAATAAATGATTTCGATATTTTGAGCTTTTCGTCAAAATTCAATTATTTTTATAACGAAACCAATCTATGATTCAATAATCTTAAAAAAATGAACCAATTATTTGAATTATAGTAAAGTATTTTATTTAAATATTAAACTTACTGACTAATAAACCTGATGAGTGATTAAATCTTTGTCTATCAGAGAACATATGACAAACAAAGTTCCTTATGATGAGAGTATACTAGAAAGAATAAAATAGCTTTCATTAAACTAGCTGAAATAACCTGTTGAGTCAATCAAGATCTGGTGTGATGTAATCACCATAGTATACGTATAATTGATTAAAGTTGTGAACCAAATATAAATTATTGATTCTCATCTCAATGACTCAATTTCATTATGATCGCATAAAGACACAGATATCCTGAACTTGGCCACTTGTAAAGCATCGACTGCTCCTTAGTCACAAACTATGGTGAAAATAATATCAAATATTTCATGTTTCTTTGAAAACTTGTTTTTGAATAGTAACATTTTTTAATTTAGTGTTATTCATTCCATCGTTTATACGGTTCACCTACTTCATTAAATTTAGCTCAGAATTGAGATGATTAGTTTTAATACACTGAAAGCTTTACAATGATATTCTTATAAACAGGCTGTAAAACCAAGCTAAAATCAATTTTCTATTATCTGTTAAAAGTCTACCTAACAATCATGAATAATAAATACTAATTTTGGCCTGAATAGCATTACTACATAGCTTGGGACACCCTTGAAGAATCTACCCGCGACTAACAATTTATCACTTTGAACACGTGGTCTTCATTTAGGAAGGCTACATCTCTCTGCATGTTTCAGAGTAACATTCAGGGATTTCATGGAATAATAAAGCGTATCTAATACATCTGATAAGATGTCTATTACTGAAATTACCGTGTTGACAAATGGTATGAAGTGACTGTATTAAACTAACAACATAAGCTATAACACTCTTTCTAATATTAGACGGATGGCATTTCTGTGTTTGATATATTAAAATAATAACCGTACAACTGTTTAATTCATTATCACTAACTGTCTAATCTAAATTAGTTCGAATAATAATTTTAAGAGATTTGTTTAATTCTTTTGAGTTAGTCGTCAGTAAAATCTGAGATCATATTTCATACTATTTGGTACTCGTCCGCAAAAAGTAACAACAATCTTAGGGGGACTGATGCTCTGTTATGTGGGATACAAATCGAAATCACCCAACTTCAATGTCTCATACATCACCACTGAACCATTCAGGCTACAACCGACCTCCAATAGGGTTTAAATATCTACAAATGACGGATTACTGAGTAATCACCAATATCCAATTTGTCTAGTCTTCTTTCACTCACGCAGTTTCGAATCATTCAGTGACTATCAGTTTAATCAATATTGCAGGTACACATTTCTAACCAATACCAACTAACATGAAGCTTAGGTTCATTTTTAACAGACTTTCCACGAATAACCTTTTATTGTAAATTTCTTGATTTATACAAAAATACAGTAAAATGAACAGTGTATCATTATGATAAAAATGAACAACTTTCGGTTTTCCCTTTTTAAATATTTAACACAATTAATGTTTAATTTTCAGTCTCATAAAATGAAAAGAAGATAATTGAACTAATGTTAATCAAAATAAAGGTGAATAACAATGGCAAAATATACTTGTTAAATTAATTTCCTTGTCTATGAATATTATATAAATAATCAATCACAAATTCCATAATGATCGTTAACTAACTAACTAACTAACTAACTGAGTATTCAAACACATTGGATCTGTTTTTTTTCAGTTTCGAAATGTTTAAATTTATATCTGTATTCAATTTCATTATTTTAAAAATAAAAGCATTCATCTTTATTCTCTGCGTTATTTAACTAGTTCACAATGAACTCATCTAACTTACATGACCTTAAATTCATTAAATATCATTTTGTTTCGAAATTTCATTCTGTAACAAAAAACAAACAAACGAACCATCAAAGTTTTTTAAGGGAAATTGGACAAAAAATTACAGGATCAAATAGTTTAATTAATTACTCTATCCAGTAGTATATATAATTTTTAAAAAATTGTTTTCAATGATCTTTTAATGAAAAGATTTCGAACACAAACTGTGTTTACTCTGTGTATTGATTCCCAATACCTGATTGCTGAACTAAACAATATCAGAAGACAGATTACTCCATGAGCGTTAGTTAGATTATCGTAATCTATATACTTGAATATTTTGGATGATACAATTCAAAATTAATTAATTTGTTATATTGCTCTAAGTTTTGAGTTTAATGTCACTCTAGAATTTTCACTGACCAGTTTTACTTGTTTCTTAGGAATCACATCATGTACACATGGACTTTTGATTGCATCGTTACTGTTATCTCATTCAGTTTATTTTTTTATTTCACTAACTCATTCTCTGGCTATCCTAATCTTAAGTATATTGTCTTGGATCAATACAGAGTTGTTCAATAACTTGTTTATGACTGATAGATTAGTTGATTAATTACAATACCTGATATAATATGAGGTATTGAGTAGATGTTTAGTAATTCACTTAACTCGACTCCTTGGTGAGTCTTACACTAGTTATTCCGAACAAAAAGTTCAATTATGAAATTCATTACTTAATTAGGAGATAATTTACCGCATTTGCTAATGTTTTTTAGAAAAGCACTGAGAAACACCGAAAGCGGTGCTAAACATATGCTTTATCACAGATGTGATTCCTCTGTTGTAGGCTTACTGTGACATCGAAAATTCCTAGATTCTATCTGTGCACTTTTGAGAAGTCCTACACTGAGAAGCAACATACGTCCAGTCCAAATTGTCTTTCAATGGGTGTCTATATAAAGTTTGTCCATGATTTAAACTACAAACTACCACATTGGATACAAATTACTATAATTTGATGTCTATTTATCTGAGCATCAATATCAGTAACAAAATAAGTCATTACTAAGACAACATAACTAAAAATAAAGTTAACTGAATAAGTGAAAGTCAGGAGTTCAATAAAATAACAGATTATGCAATAAAAGAACTTTTCCCACTAAAATTAATTTATCTCAACACACTTAAGCTTATTGCGATTATCTCTATGTATATTGATTAGGTCAAAAATGCGTGAAGACAATGATGTCTGCAAAACGCACTGAATGTGAGGTTCGTTGTCTGTTGATTATTTCCGAAAAATTCGAGTTATTCACTTCGTATTCATTATCCACTGAGTAACTGACCATCGTACTTGAAACGTTTTCTCTCTTTTATAAATTGATTTCAAGGAATGTGGTCAAAAAACCTCGGAGATTCCTTTACCTTAGTTATTTTCATATACTTGTTTGTAAGAGTACGTGTAAATTCATTAATGTAACCCGTGATCACTGCAAAAAAGAACATTTATCTCCCTTCAATCAGACTGGTAAACCTTAGGTGTCTTATGTATTTAAATCAATTGAGCTAATAGAAAACTCCATTTAATCTCTTCCCCGACAGCAAAATATTATTCTTGTGGTGTTATCTTGTTCAAGTATTCCATGGGATTGTTTATTTTGTTTAGCTTGAAGGAAAACGAGACAGAGATCAAGAACAAAGTGTACTTGATTGGATAGAGGCCGTACTTGGCACCAAGGTGGACCGTTCTAAACCATATGAAGAGGTACTGAAAGATGGAGTGCTACTTTGCAAGTAAGTCAATTATTATGCGAAGCTTCGAACTGCTTGATATTTTGATTCGTGTAAGAATTATCCTAACTCTAGCAACCACTGAGCTACTGAGTTCAGATAGATACTGTAGGAATTAATTTGTCCTACAGATATACTACTAGAACCGTAAACGCGATACTGGCGAGCACAGAGTCTATGTGAAAGCTATAGTCAGAACAAGGACAACTTGGCTTCAAACTTTATCCGTTTCCACCAGTATTGCGTGTCTTATCGAAATGAATAAAACTGAGTCACACTAACATAATAAGATGATAATGTCTTTTAATTGGTAGGTCATATGCAACAGAGATGGTTTACAGACACATCAGACTAAATCAACGTGGTGGGCGCTTAAACAACAATTTGATTGGTTGGTTGTGGACATAGCTAACAGATACTAGCTTGTTCAACGGGTGGGATTTATACTCTAATCACAGAAAGGGCTTTTAAGTATCCCATCCTTGATATTTTGCACTCAATTTCGGCTGGTGATTTTCAAACACGACGAAACATGGACCTTGAATTCTGCTGTCAGTCAAAATTCATCCATTCTAAAAACTTATGACTTAACTGCTTTATCTAGACAATCTACTTGGTATGCATATATTTCTGTTCGAAGCCTGACCAAAATTCAGTCCTAGATATCAGCAACGCAACAATTCAAGCCCTTTCTGATGATAAAATATGAATATCAAAGTTATGATATGTATCGACTTATCTTCAGAAAAGTAAAAAGATTTTATTAGAGCAAATTTTAAGATTATTAAATGAAAATATCTTAACCGATCTATACTAAAACATATTTTTGTTGCACAATAATTCCTGTACTAAAATCATTTTTCTTGACAAGTAAAATTATTTTTATTAGTATGTAGAAGTTATACCATGTAGTTACATTTCGGGATGAAAGCTCACTCTGAAATCAGCAATGAGTGTTTCCTACTACTCCGAACTCGACAACTGAGGTGTGACTGTATCATAATGTTTTTGTTTACACTTAGTCTTAGATCAATTACCCACAACCCTATAGGTCAACATTGAGTCATAATAGTCACACTTATTTGAAAATTATGAGACATCTTTAACTTTCAGTGTTTATTACTGTTTTTTGACAATTTACATCACAGACTAATATTTATAAGAAAACAACTAAAGACGAAGAATCACTGGACAGCTGTTTCGTAATATTGTGAGGTCCCTCATCAATCCTCATTCATTCTGATTAGTTCCAAATACTGACTGAAGTCTTATTAAAATGATTAGATGCCGCTCGGTAGTCCAGAGATTAAGTGATCGTCACGAGACTCAAAGGTCCTAGGTTTGACCCTGCAAAAGGTTGTGGTTGCATATTTCTTAGGGATTCACATAATGGAGTGAAACACCAGTTTGTTGCTTCTTGGTTTTTAAAGAATGTCTAAATAATATCATTCCATGATGTTCACTATAAAATCAAATAATTTCCACAAAGTTGTACACCAATTCGCATTTCATATTGCTAATATTCATGACCAGATTTAATCAGTCTCTTCTGCCACAACTATGTGAAAAGTCCTAACATCCATTTGAAAAGTCCGTATGCTAGTAAAAACTGATCAGATTCAATCTCGAATAACAATACTCAGTAAATAAAATCTTTTACAAATTGTGATATGGATGTATTGTTTAACGATTTTTCAGTTTTATCTATGATAAACAGGTTGACAGTTAGAAAATCTTCTTTTTCATGCTTTACATAAAGTATTTACTGGATTATCAGTAAACGTATTCAATTAGCTAATTTATTCTCACAATTGGAAAGCACAAGTATTGGAAACCTAACGTTACCTAAACTAATCTAAAAGATGTCAATATCAAATTAAGTCTTTATCTGTATAGGATCTTATCAACTGAATTGATCGAAGATCATCATCTTTCTGATCTGCCTACTTGATAACTTTTAGCACGAGATTCAAATACTGTAAGTTTTTTGTACATAGAAAAATTTAATCCATAGTTCTTGTATTTTCTACCATATTTTATTAGAGTTATCAATAAACTAAAACCTGGTAGTGTGAAGAGAATCAATGAGAACGCTACTATGCCATTTAAAATTATGGAAAATATTAATGCATTTCAAGAAGCAATTAAGGCATACGGGGTACCTACTGCTGATGTTTTTCAAACAGTCGATTTATTTGAGAAAAAAGATATTGCTCAAGTGACACAATGTATTTATGCTCTTGGAAGAACAGTAAGCTATATTTGTTTATTTTTTATGATAGATATCATGAACTGATTGGGTGTTAATTGTTGTTTGAAGTTTAATTGCTCATTACGAGATCTTGAAGTCCTGAGTTTGATCGCTAGTATGTTCAAGGATAAATATTGATGCGGTGTTTAAAACTAGGACAAAGCAATTTCACTGCTTACTGACTTCCAATAACTATTTAAATGAAATGGGACCATAGTGTAAAACTACGAAATTCATCAATCTCTATAATCTTGTATACTATAAAGATATGTTGAGTGACTATGAAATCATCTTTCTTAGAAAACTTTCTAATAATTTTTTGGTGTGATGTAGTTTAATGATTTAAACAGTCAAAATCTTGGCTGTAACCTACTAAATTCTAAGCTTTCGTTTAGTCAGTTAACTAGTATCATTGACGATTGTATGCACACAAAATGTATCTGAATGTATAAATCTCTTCATGAGAAAAAAATTACTTCACTTTAAAGGTTATTTTTCCTTAAACCACGCAAATTTATGAACAAAATCATTCATACGATTAAATTTTTAATATTTATGTGTGTCATTTTATAAATTGATAAAATTAAATAAGTACTTTATTTAAATTTTCTTCAGCAAATTCTATGTTCACTAACTTTCACTTCGTATCATTTCATAGATTATGCGATTCGCATAGGATATCTCAAATTTTGTTCACTATATTTCACTGATATTTATTCTTATTATTAACCTCACAGTTTTATTGGATTTGAAACCTTATTCAAACATAAATCACTTAATAGTCATTTTAACAATTACGCAATCCTCAGCCACCGTTTTCGCTGACAAACTATCCTGAGAAAGCTAGGAGCTACGAAGCCAAGACAGCATTATTTATGAAGTCGTTTACTATTAGTTTGGACAGTGTAAAGAGAAGCAGTCTACCCAATTAGATTCCATACGATAATTGTTATCTACAGTTTGAGAGTTTAGTTGACGTATCACTAAATCAATTAAAAGGTGATGAAGATCCATTCATTCTTTATCTCATCCCAAATTGCAGATTTCAATAATAATTCATATTTTTGTGTTCATAGATTTCATTACATTATCTCTGAATATATTCTACATAGTAAATATTTTCACTATAACGTACGGTACTTTTGATTCTACTTCCCTGTTATTCAATTTGTTATTTTCACTCCTCCGCACTGATACAGTTTGACAACCTGAGTCAAGACATATCTTTATCTAGCCTATTGTTTTTACAAATGATTGACCAACTCACATCTGTAGAATTTCGTAAAAATTTATTGGAAAGAATATTTTTCTGTTATATATATCATAAATGTTTTCCTAAGTACTGAAGGTTATCAAACAATTATAATTCAAGCTGATATCAAATAAATGGAATATGATTAGCAACTTAATCCAGGACACTCGTTTCATCCTATTCAGAACTTGTTAGCTGGATGTACCTGGATCCCAGAGTTGATGTTCACTCCATGACTCCAACGCAGTACCATTCAATTCAAAAGCCACTGTATTGGATGGAACGCGGCTAACAGACTGATCAAATTTCCGTGAAAAATATCAACAATGGGAGAATTCAACCCACTTTAAACTGAATTATCATTCCGTTACTAATGATGGTTTGTCAAAATCTAAATCTGCTATTGATCAGTCTTTATTGTCATTTGTGGATCCTGAGTGGGTTGCCTCTATGAAGTCATATTTCCACAAGTTTTTGGAATGGATAGATTGTGGCTAACAGTGGGATCCAGAGTTCATGTTTCATTCAATTTGGGATGTTCCCACATTCCACTGTTAATATTTAATTAATTGATAAACGTTTTTAATGGTCATTTTTCACAGCCCATTACCCTAATTAAAATGACTTTAATCTTCTCAAAAAAAACTTTTTCAGTGTCAAACACATCCGGAATACAATGGCCCTACTTTAGGTCCAAAATTAGCTCAAGAGAATAAACGTGAATTCACTGACGAACAATTACGTGAAGGCGCGAATGTGATTAGTCTACAATATGGTACAAATAAAGGTGCTTCACAAGCTGGCATGACAATGGGCAAACAAAGAATGATTCTTGATTAAATTAATTATTTATGAAGAAGAATACTGAAACATATCTATCAATTTATTGAAACTATGACCATTTGATGGGGGGCAATTTTTTAAATTCTAATATTAATAATCACAAACTTGATTGAGTCTTAACTATGCAACTCAGCATGTCAATATTTGTTTACCAATGAAATGCTTTTTTTTCACAACTGCTTTTTTCCTCGTTTAATTGTTTCTTAAGCTTATTCTTAACTCATCGTATTACAGTTGATCTAAGTAACAACAATACTAAGGTGTAACCTTGATTAATCGTTCATATGATTGAATGTTAATGTTAAATCACGTGCTTAACTTCTTAATAAAAATTTCACATATTTGTGCTGCTAAATAATAATAACAACCGCAACGCTTTTTTCCTTAATTTTTTACTTATATATTTCTGTCAAAATACTAAAGTGTAAAGGTTATTGTAATTGTTATACGGTAACAAATTCATTGCCTACTTATTCTACTTGATTCTTTATTTATAACTAATAGTGAAAGTTCCTGTTTTCTATTTTTTTATTCTGAACACGTAAATATTGGTACAGGAGGGCACCAAATACATATGCGCCACACAAAACAATGAGAATTTGAAGAGAAGAAGGAAAAAGAAGTAGGGAGCGTAAAGAAAACAATAACATACAGATTAGCTAAGGTAGTATAATAATAATAATCGGGGAAACGAAAAGGTACAATCAGAAGAAATCTTTCGGTTAAGGAAGAAGCAACCACTTTTTATGAAGAACGTAAAAGGTTACAGCAGGATCTCCACTGGCTTCTAGTCTGAGCTATATCTGATAACGTCTCTAGCCACTGTATCGCACCATTTCTAGGACCCCAGCCAGGAAGTCGTGAAGGACCAACAGAAGCCAACCCTTTGCAGCTTTCTTTCATAACACGACACCACGTCATACACCGACCACCTCTCCGCCTTTTCCAACCAGTCCCAGCATCGGCAATTAATGCACGACGTGGAATTCTCTGGGACGACATTCGTAGAACATGTCCAAGCCACCGAAGTCGGTGTTTCAAGATGGTGACACCAAGTGCATTATCGTCTCTGTGTCCGAACACACTATGCCGAACCTCTGCATTACAAACATGGTGTTGCCACTGGATGTCAGCAATCCTTCGGAGACAGCGATGATCGAACACAGAGTCGTCTAACATCCTCAACTCGGAGAGGCCAGGTTTCACAAGCATAGAGCAAAACTGCTCTCACCGACGCGTTGTAGATCCGACCTTTTACAGCCAGACCAACATCACGAAGGCGCCAAAGGTGGCCCAGATTGGCATAAGCCACTCTGACTTTCACTATACGTGAATTGATCTCATTACTCACGCCACCACCAGCACTTATGCAGCTACCTAGATACACGAACTTCTCGACTACTTCTATCTGCTCACCAGAATCCTGCCAGTCTTGTAAAAGTACTTTGCACTTCGAAGGTGCAAAGCACATACCATACCTACGGACACTGATTGCCAACTGATTAAGTGCGGATTGAATGGCTTGGGCATTATCGCACAATAAGACAATACCATTAGCAAACTCAAGGTCGAGAAGTCTTTCTCCAGGCAGCAGATCTACACCGCCATCACTTACATCCATCAGGGCTGTTTCTAGAACGTCATCGATGGCAAAGTTGAAGAGGAATGGTGAAACTAAGCAAACCTCTCTAACCCTATTGATTGAGTTGAACAGTAGAGAAAAGTGGTTGTACGCCCTCAATCTGCCTGGAGTGTTTGTACATAGAGCTTTTAGATGTTAATAAACTTCACAGGCACACCCTTCTTCAATAAACAATCCTAGAGAACAGCCCTGTCCAACGAATCGAAGGCGGCCCTAACGTCACGAAACACAACAATTGTTGGACCGTAATAAGTATGATGGTATCCTAATATTTGGCGGAGGGTGAAGATATGATCAGTATATCCTCGACCAGAACGAAAACCAGCCTGCTCCTCGCAAGTCAATCTTTCTCGGGTTTTTAACAATTTATGACGAAAGCAATCGACAGTAGACTTATCCCCCGATAGTTGTTACAGAGACGACGTGAACCCTTCTTAAAGATAGGGACAACTATCGGCTTATTCCATGACGTTGTTACACTCTCTAGCTCCCAAACCTTTGTAAACAACGTCGTCAGTTCCTTGGTCAGAAAGTCACCACCATCTTTAAAAAGAGCTGGAGGTAAGTCATCTGGGCCTGATGATTTGTAGCGCTTCAAGAGTTGGAGTTCCTTGCGGACTTCCGCTTCATTTGGTGGATCAGTCGTCACCGGCCATGGAGGGCAGGACAGTCTGACCGATGTTGCCGGAGCAGCAGGCCAGTTGAACTGCTCTTCGAAAAATTCTCCCCATCGTCCAAGACGTCGATGGATGTTGGTGATTGGTATAGGTGGAGATGACGAAAAGACATCGTTTCTCACGCCGATTTATTCTCACTTTGATGGAACTCTCTAATCTAACAGCACATAACCGACTGTTAATGGTGATACAGTCGATTAGTGCTGCCTCAGCTCTAGAGCTTTGTGCGACACCAACGCCAGCAACACCAGACGAAGATGCCACAGCATAACCGGATAAACGCACGTAAAACAAGCTTTTCGAAGCGACGGATGGAGAGCGAATTTGTAGTACTTCACCAGAGTCTTGGATACGGGTCTCGGATAGACGGCAAACATCGATATTAAGATTTTCCAAATACATAGCCAGCCCTATCTGTTGTCCGACCTGTATTAGTGTGCGGACGTTGAAGACAGACAATTCAAATAGTGCACGTGTTTTCAGAAAAGCTGCTTCAGTACTTGTATTTGGTGGTAGCATACAATTTTCAATCAGGCAGTGACTCGAGAACGTTAGACAGAGCCGAATTTCCACCACAGGCGAGCTACTGTATAACCCGAAAAATAAGGATATACAGAGTGGGAATAAAAGCGAGTGAATAAATGACGCAGTAAATAATAATAATAATATTAATAATGTGAATCATTAATCGCAGCAAGAAGAGTACTTTCAATAAAAATAGACAGTCCATCACAATTGTGTGTGGGCTGTGATACTGCAGGGGTGCCCAGACCGAAGCATGTGGTTTTCTTAGGGGGCCACACCCCGAAACTTTGACCTAAAGGTCTGACCCACAAGGCAGTGGAGCATCGCAAGGAGATGCAGTCCCATGGTAGCCGGTGACCAAAAATTGGTTCGTACGCCATTTGTTCCTGCAGGATACTGGAGCCCATGTGCACCATTGGTTTGGAATTCGGTCAAAGCGCCGGACATTCGGTTTTCGTTCTCTCATTCTCGTAAACAACACCCCTGCCACGAGAAGGCAGTGAGTAGGACTTCCCTGGCAGAGGCTGTATACGTGTGACCGTGTGAGAGCACTTCGAGAGGGAGGGCGAGCCCATCCCACTGTCGGCCATACCAGGGCATTTGGTGGCATGCCCATATTTTCCACTGTAACCGAGCCTAGTAAATTTAATAGTTGAATATGCTTAAGAACACTTATATAGCTAATATGTCGTTCAAATAAGTATCTATTAAATTCCAAACTCAGTAATTTTGAAAATATGTTAGGTGACCATCATGCGAATCCAAAATCTTTATCACGAGCTAGTATAAACCAAGTGATTTATTTAAGCTAGTTTTGTGTTATTTCGGTACAGCACCTGGTATCCGATAATGTCCGATATATGTTAGTCAAGTGACTCAACGACACTAATTCTAATCCCATTGGAAGTTATGTGCAGATCAGCACAAATTATAGTTAGAGTGAGTTTGCTTGTCTCAGGAAATAAGGATACAAGAAAATAACCGGTAATTACATTGATAAATTGCAGATAAGTAAAAATATGCAAAAAATTTCCAAAAACACAATGGAAATAACGAGAAACTACATCAATCAGAAAAAGAAAATCATTAAAAAATATAAGAAAAAATGGAAAATATTTTAACCGGTCGAGTGAAAAAAAACCATGTCAAATAAGAGATATCAACACACAGAAGACAATGGTGTACGGTGGCGCAACTTCGTGGATTGGTTGAAGTTAGACATTAACACCGTTGGATGCCGACTCAGTGGTCTAATTATGAGGTGGTCGCGCGCGACACTGATAGGTCCTGGGTTCGAATGTCTCGAGAGGCGGGATGGTGGATGCGCACTGCTGAGCAGTCCCATACTAGGACGAAACGGCCGTCCAGTGCTTCCAGGATTTCCATGGTGGTCTAGCTTCAATTGACTCATGATTTCAACTATTGAAATTTGTATAAATCTCCACAAAACACCTTCTGATAATAATCATCTGCTCACTGGTGACTGACTTGAAGAGGCATTTCCTGGAGTTCTAGTGAGAAGCCGTTACCAGTGGAGTTCAACCAGGTCTGTTGTGAGATATCAACTCACTGAAGACAATGGTGTACGGTGGCGCAACTTCGTGGATTGGTTGAAGTTAGACATTAACACTGTTGGATGCCGACTCAGTGGTCTAATTATGAGGTGGTCGCGCGCGACACTGATAGGTCCTGGGTTCGAATGTCTCGAGAGGTGGGATGGTGGATGCGCACTGCTGAGCAGTCCCATACTAGGACGAAACGGCCGTCCAGTGCTTCCAGGATTTCCATGGTGGTCTAGCTTCAATTGACTCATGATTTCAACTATTGAAATTTGTAAAAATCTCCACAAAACACCTTCTGATAATAATCATCTGCTCACTGGTGACTGACTTGAAGAGGCATTTCCTGGAGTTCTAGTGAGAAGCCGTTACCAGTGGAGTTCAACCAGGTCTGTTGTGAGATATCAACTCACTGAAGACAATGGTGTACGGTGGCGCAACTTCGTGGATTGGTTGAAGTTAGACATTAACACCGTTGGATGCCGACTCAGTGGTCTAATTATGAGGTGGTCGCGCGCGACACTGATAGGTCCTGGGTTCGAATGTCTCGAGAGGCGGGATGGTGGATGCGCACTGCTGAGCAGTCCCATACTAGGACGAAACGGCCGTCCAGTGCTTCCAGGTTTTCCATGGTGGTCTAGCTTCAATTGACTCATGATTTCAACTATTGAAATTTGTATAAATCTCCACAAAACACCTTCTGATAATAATCATCTGCTCACTGGTGACTGACTTGAAGAGGCATTTCCTGGAGTTCTAGTGAGAAGCCGTTACCAGTGGAGTTCAACCAGGTCTGTTGTGAGATATCAACTCACTGAAGACAATGGTGTACGGTGGCGCAACTTCGTGGATTGGTTGAAGTTAGACATTAACACTGTTGGATGCCGACTCAGTGGTCTAATTATGAGGTGGTCGCGCGCGACACTGATAGGTCCTGGGTTCGAATGTCTCGAGAGGTGGGATGGTGGATGCGCACTGCTGAGCAGTCCCATACTAGGACGAAACGGCCGTCCAGTGCTTCCAGGTTTTTCCATGGTGGTCTAGCTTCAATTGACTCATGATTTCAACTATTGAAATTTGTATAAATCTCCACAAAACACCTTCTGATAATAATCATCTG